CGTACAAGGAAACAAACAAAAAAAAAGCAAAAACAAATGTGGTAGGCATCTCTGTGTGTCAGGGCGGCGTTCCTGCACAAGTCAGCTCATCACCACCATACAAATCATAAGTAACCGAATAAAGGACAACCACAGAATACTGTAAACTATTTAACTTCCACTTCTTGATATATATATATATATATATATATATTCCGCCTCCGTGCTTACGCTGCCGCCTCCTTTCCTTTACGGAAAGAGGGTGGCCAACGGCAGAGAAACCGCTATCATTCCTTTTGATGGCGCTCAGGCGCACACTTGAGCTCCCCTTCTCTCTCTCTCTCTCTCCCCGCCGTTTGTTGGTGCCACCTACTTGCTGCAGCACCCGTTTCTCTGATGTTGCTGCGGCCGCCTGCGTGTGCGCAGGACCACCGTGCCGGCGCCGCCGCTGTCATTGGGGTCAGCACCAACGCCGCTGTTGTCCCATACTCTGGAAAAGAGCTGCGGGAAGCGGTCCACCGCGGCAGCAATGACAGCCCGCACCACTGCCTCAACATTGACACCCCTTCGACCAGCTGCATAGGACCAACCTGCAAAACCATGACGTGCACACAATTCGTCGAGTGCCGCGTGAGACGCCCAGGTAGGTGGTGATGTTAAACCCGCGAGGAGATCGTACTTGTTAATCACAAGCCAACATGGCGGGTTCTCGGTCTCCTCGTTTAGTTGTTGCAACGACCTTTTGCCCCTGGCAGCCGAGTCTCCTCCATGTGGCGATGGCGCCTTCGTTGATGTGTTTGACAGCTTTCCTTTGGAAATGTGTATCTTTTGCGCCACATCGCTCCTCCACGACAAGGCGCTGGTTAGGGTGTCAATTCCGTTGCTCATTTCACAAAATATAAGCACAGCGATGGCGCCTGTGTAGAAGACACGCGTCATCCTTTTGGTGCTCTCCTGCCCTTGTATGTCCCACACCTTGACGATGGCAGGGACGTCTAGGAGTGACCACTGGGCTTCTCCTTCCTGTTGTACATCGTTGCCTGTAAGAGTAGATCCACACCTGCTGGTGGTTCCGCCACATGCGGAAGCCATCGCGTAAAACGGTGGAAGTTGGGGCGGCGCAATGGCGTATTCGCTTCCAAAGGGGTTCTGCAGAAACGCATAGCTCCTGCCACCGCTACTGCCGGCGCTGCACCTCCTAACACCAGAGACGGTGGAGATATGCTCCGTAGATGAAGCAAGATGCCGCTGCACACCATGTGATTGCACGCAACTGTGCACATTACCTTTGCACGTGTCGCCGCAGCGGCTCCCCACCGTATCCTCCTTGTGCTGCGTTTGCTGGTCCTCATGACACTCCTTGTGAGCCGCGTCAACCGTCGTGTTCAACGCCCCTGCAGGTCGATGCCGCTGTTCGAAGTACGCCGCTGATGGTACGACGATGCACATTTCCCGCCGGTGAAACTCCATCTGTATCGTTGTGGACAGGTGCAGTGGGGACTCTCCAGTTTCCCAGTAGCGAAGGAACGTCGTCTTCCCCGTGTTCGCGGCCCCAACGCACACCACCTTAATGTCAAGCTCACGTGTCATAAAAAAGACTCGCAAGCTGCAGCACGTTTTTATTATTATTCTTTTGTTTTCCTTTTCTGGATTTCCGCCTCAACTGCCCGCCTTCACCCCGTTCGCCCAGTCTTTCCCCTCCCTCCGCGAGGTTGTGGGAGAGAAAAGGCTCAGTGTGCCTGCACTCTTCTACCGGGAGAGAAGCAAGAAGAAAAAGAAGAAGAAATAAACACACACAAAAAATAAAGTGACAAAGTTGTGGAGAAAACCACGGAAATGTTTCTTGACTGTTGCCGTCGTCTTCCGCTCTGACTTCGTTCGTTCCTTTTAGTGTGTGTGTGTTTCTTCTGATTCTTCTCCATTTTATACTTCGTACCCGGCTTAATCGAATATTGTGGACCGCACTTTACGGTTGACAGCTGCGCCCACTACCTTCCTTTTTCTTTTTTCCGTTTCTCTCTCTCCCTCCCTTTCCTCCTTTGTTCCTCTCCCCCCTGCATTTGTCGCTCCTCCTCGCGACAATGGCGACGCTAACGCTTGGCGGACATCCGTCGAAGCCGCTCCTCCAACGGCAGCTTCTCTAGACGCTGTCGCTTGCGGGACGCGTGAATAGCCTTGTCGTTGCTCGTGAAGGACACACGGCTACCCTTCTTGACCTCGTACAGCGTCACCTGCCGCTTAGGCTCTTGTTGGCTGCCACCGCTGCCGTTCGCCACCACGTCGGCCTGCGTTCGTTGCCGCTGTCGCCGTCGTTTCTGCTTGCCGCTACTCTGCACGCCCTTTAGATGCCGCCGTGCGTCCAGCTCACCCCCATCATCGTCGTGGTCGTCGCTGTGGCCGTTCCGCTGCTGCCCCTCCGCGTCGTCGCCGCTCTCCGCGTCGGGAACGATGGTGAAGAGCTCCGACTCGTACCGCTGGCGGCGACGGCTCGCCTGTGCGCGGCGCTCGTTAATGACCTGCAGCAGCTTCGCGTACTCCGGGTTGGACGGGTCGAGGGCAAAGGAGGACGCACTGTTGCCCACAAAAGCCTTCTGAAACCGTGGGTCCGCCTTTGCAGCTGCCAGCGCCTTCCCCTTCGCGCCCACGCTAGTCGCGTCAGATTCGTGCACTGCCAGCGCCTCCCCGTCGTCGTTGTTGTCGTCATCAGCAGCAACGCGTTTGAACTTGCTGATGCGATTCTCCCACCGCTGCTCCTTTCTGCGTCGCGCGTTCTCCTGCACGTAGCGGTTAAATTCGCCGGGGTCAACGACGGCCTTCAACTCGCGGTACAGGCGATTCTCAATGAAGGCACCATGCATAACAGGCCGCACCTTCCCGCCTGCGAGGTCCTCAGCCGTCATCCCAAGTGC